TGACAGGCTTTGTAGTCGGGCATCGCTCCTTCGTAATCTTCAAAGGAAAAGTATAAGTCTAGTGATTTGTCAGGTTTGTTTTTACCTGGCACAAATCAAATAGCTAGCCGCGTGCCTTCAATTATGCTATGACATATTCCAGGGGTGAAGAGAGCGAAAGTGAGCGTAGGTAGCCCCTTGATATCGAGGATGCGGTGGCCATAATGTCCTTCTTAAGATATTCTTTATACTACATATACATGTAACTGTGTATATCCATATCTTTTATGGTTATGGATAGCCCCTGATACACATTTTCATACTTTCATCATTATTATAGTCAATGTTTGAATTAGTGAATTAGTTTGTCCACATATTTTTCTTAATTAAGATACCCTTCCACATTGATCTATAGAACAACCGTAGTCAGTTCAGTACGTACACGTAACCATTGATCCCGCGTTTTTCACCACCGTCGTTACAGCATGGTATGTTTAATTAAAATATTAATGAAATGCTAAAGAACCTAATGAAATGTTACATTGTTGTACATATATAGGTATACAAAGTTACTTTTGTGGTGAGCAGAAATAGCTAGAATCGATCTCTATGACGTATACGTTTCCAAGGTATCAGAGCACGCTCTGCGGGCGACCTGCATGCAAGATGTGTAACTTGACCACTTTCAATTGTATTCTATCACACAAGAATTCCCATATATAGCGCATCATCCTTTTGGGGAATGAGCGAAAACAAAGCGTCTATTTCTGTATCCTTATCAGTGTCTACTGAAGATGTACGTGTTCTTGTTACCAATATTTATTTTTGTCATTGTTCAATATCTTGACAGCAATTGTCTTTTCTTCATACAACCAGCTCACACGAGGTTCAAAGTCGAGTACAAGGACTTCGGCATTATGTTTGAGTGTGAAGCAAAGAAAAAAATGTTGTAATATGTCGAGACTTATGATATATGTCTGTAGAACCTAAGAGATACCGTTAGAACACGGGTATTGTTAAATGTTTGTTATACATGCTATGCTGGAGTTATACACAGCTTTGACATTTTGCTTTTTTATTCAGATTCATGTTTCTGAATATGATATTTACAATGTACTTTATGGCTCCGCCATTCAATGCATGCTTTTTATACTTTGTTTGCCCCATTAAACGTATTATCAAATTTTAAATTGATTCGATGAATGAGCGCACTCCGAAAATATGCAAGAACTTCGATTTGCGCATTCATAATTAAGAGCAATAATCAAAGCGCTAAAATAAGACTACCACTAAAAATAAGCATTTACAGTACATGTATAAAGCATGTATTATTTAGTCAATAGCAAATCCTTTGAAGTGAATATTTCAGAGGTACTATGTTTTCAGATCTTCATTTATATGGTGGATATATTTCACAGAATGTTATCCTTGACAGATTGAAAATCACGAAAAATCTTGTCATAAAGTTAGATCGAATGAAATAACTCTGTGTGCTGATGATGACAGTATTGACAACAAGACTTTTTCAAAATTAAAGTATTTGTTTTGAATAAATACAATCAAGAGAAATAATCTTCAATATCGTTACCTTAGGAATATACTCTAGCGGGAACGTTGTAAAACGTAACTTGGTAATGTGCTAAAATATAACTTATTTAAACAAAGTACCTGCGCTTTAAACAACAGATGAAATAAAAGAAAGTCAAATTAAAAGTTTTAATGAATTTTAATTATAAATGATCAAGTTGAACAAACAATATATTTATATGGCTACCTATAATGTACAAAGAGTTCAGCAACGAGAAAACGTAACATTTAACAGGTATATTGTATACATTAACATATGTATGGAATTAATTGGAATACTGTCGTACTAATTATTTGTTACCCTTTTCATTACACCTTAAAGATTTAACAACTTATTCTCAATGTTTCTCATCCAATGCTTGGTTCAAACTTAGGACAATTTCGACATATTCCATACACCTTTCTTTTCAGGTTAAACCATCAAAAAATCTTTACGAAAAAATGATATAGGGTACAGATACAACTGACAACATAATAACATGCTAATTAGAAGATAGATGCCCTCGACAAGATAATACCCCTTTTCGAGCAATGCTTCTTTCGGAAGATTTAAGTGAAAGAAAAGTTAAGATGTTTCGTGAACCAAAATCAATTCACATCTGAAAAGTTTTTTTTTCCTTTTTACGATTTTCAATGGAAGTCATTGTTTTCATAATGTTTAGGTTAAAAATCGTTCTTATTTCGGTTTTCCGTTGTCCTGTGACTATTTATTAAAATTAAAAACGAGTAATTATCAATAGAAAGCAAGAATAACTACTGATTTTTGTGAATGACAATAATGATTAATATATTGTGCTTGACAGGGTACTGTAAAGGATACATGTCTTTGTCAAAGAGAAGATTTGGTGTTAAATGGCATACATATTGTATTAAAAGTCTTCGTGACCCCGATCTTGTGCTGTGAACCACAGCATGTACCTGTACTATCTGAAGGGGGGACTTGATTGTCACAGTACTGTGGTGTTATATACGTATAGGACTAACCACAATACCTGTTAACTAACGCACCGCGTGTATAGGTTTCTGTCACAGAACGGTGGCTCCATTTTTAAAGTACATTGTGTAATGTTAAATCCCATGCTCGTAGAATGGGTAATAATCATAATGTGATTTGTATTTAACAGATGTATAGATTTGCATTAACAACCGTAAAATGATCACGGATATATTACATGTATGTAGGTCAAAACCTATATTAACAATACACAGTGAAATAATTGTGATAACAAACATATACGACAAGGTTTTTGTTCAAATAATGGACAAAAAGTCATCCTTCTGTCGATAACTGAATATGTAATGAACACATGCGGACGGAATGAATTTGGGTCTATATACAGTAAAACTTCGATAAAATGTCCCTCGTTTATATACAGTAAAACTTCGATATAATGTCCCTAGTTTATGTACAGTAAAACTTCGATAACATCACGTACCGCCAATATAGTTCACGGTCCTTTTTCTTGTTCCCTTAGGAATTCCTCACGTTTCCCTCAATTAATCGCAAAACCCCTCTATAACGCCATTTTTCCTGGCAAATGTTGCCAGTATAACGAAATAGTACTGTATATACATTCGAGAAAATTATGACATTATCTATAACTTTCGTTCGATGTTGAACATTAAGATATGATACTTCAGGCAATCAAAAACATTGTTATATCTAAACTATAATCTATCTTAGACTTCAAGGTAAAAAAAATCATCTTTTGGTATTTACGAATTGCTTTCTTAAGTTATAAAGGTCACAAAGAAACATCCATATTGTAAATAACGATGGTACAGTGGCTGTTAACGAGTGAGATTTTATATATAGTACAGTCCTACAGCCAGTGTGTAAATCACGGAAACTATACTGAAGGGGGGGGGGGGGGNACTTGGATATGGATATTTGTTAGAATTTATATCAAGGTTTTCAACAAGGCATATTAACAATCTGAAAGCTCACACTAATTTTGAAATATCGGTTATGCTTAGTTTTTTTCCTTTCAATTTATGACTCTATTACTCCGACACCAATCCTAATAAGTACAAAGATATTTTAATGCTTTTATAAAAAAATTAGACATGATGGACCTCTGTTATGAAATGGGCTTTCAATACAAACATTAGGACCATGTTTCATTTAAAGCTTTTATAACTTACAGTTAATTCGGATTGATTGTTAACAATAGGAATACCAATATGTCTTTAACTGAGCCCCAATTTTAGTGACCCCTTGACCACTTTATTAATAATTATATGCATATAAAGTCATATGTATTGTTTATACGAATACATTTGTATAGACTTCCATTTGGGATCTAACAAGAATGTTCTGATATAAAGATCGCTTCATGGCTCTAACGACACAATACTATATGCTCCCCAGGGAGTTGAGAAAGATATGGGCTGGTTGCAAAGGCCCTTTAACCACGGATAATAATTTTGTAAATTATTGACCTTTTTTATAATTATGCTTATGATTAATACTAGAACTTAAAAACCCACATTTCCCTCTATTCAAAATGACTATATTTTCCGTTCGGTACTGCTATGCATAACTAGTACTTTTTCTAAATCTTTAATAGTCTGTTTATTTTATTGTAACACATGAGAGTCCCTGTCTGGCGTTGAGGATTTTGATTCGAGGAATACTTGTACATTATAATACTTTTTGTTATACATCTGTAGTCATGTTGTCTGATATCAAACATATTGTACTCCTTTAACAGACTTTATCGTGAAAACATGTTTAATAGTAACCTTACCAAGTTTAGAACGCGGCATAATTCCTTTCGAATTATCACGAGATGATCCATCTTTACCCTCAAAACACAATTTTTAATCACTGCTCACTTTTGAATTGATTACATTGTCACACAAACCGTTATTGTCTTTTAGCATTTTGTTTTTCACGATTTAGAGGAGACACAAACTGCACGTTTTTACTAGGGAGCGTCAGTTTTCGATTGTACGCGCCAAAAGAGTCTTCCGAGTCGGAGTCTCTGAACACAACGGGCTCATTAACACCTGAATCACTCGTGACACTGATGACCGGGGTGACTGACGTCACATTGGGCCTGACTGGCATATTGTCCGGCATGAGCTGTACTGTGTGTACTTTCACTTTCTGTGAACCAGAGTCCACTGAAGGATCACTGTACATTGAATCTTCCTCTCCCCCGCTTCGTTTGGATTTTATCTCACTGTTACCAATAATTGGGGGGCGTGACTCGTCCACTAAACGTGAGATCGGAAGTGACAGGAAACCATTACCCCCTGTAGATTGGAGAGGTCCTCCCGGGGGTACTAGTAAACCTTTACTGTCCGACGTATTAGGAGCTAGGTCCGTCCCTAAGTTAACGACTTTTCCGACAGAGGGGTGCTTTCTGGGTTTAGCTACTCGATTTTTCTCTACTATTTCCCTCGGTGTCAATACTGGTGTATTTTGTGTATTTTCCTTTCTCGTTTTCAACAAATCAGTAGGTTTTGATGTTGGCGTTGCACCTATCCCATTTTCACCCACCACGGACAGGTTTTCCTCTTTTACAGGCTGCATTTCACGAACACTTTCCACGGGTTTTGGCAAGGTTTCCTCGTCGCTGCTAGACACAAATGAAGGGGGTGGATTGTTCACATTATTAGAGTTACTCGTGCTGGTACTCGTGCTATTAGCGGACGTCGCACGACCCACGACTCGATTGTATAGACTCTTTCTGTAAAACAAATGATTGGCCTTATCGTCATCACGAAATATTCGCCGTACCCCATCATACGAAGTGAAACGTTTTGGAACATCGTCAGCAAAATTAAGTGGAGGAAGTTGCTGATGATGAAGTCCTACCTTGATTGGAGCCATACTACACACGCCGTTAAGGGACGGGTCTACCGGCACAAACCTAAGCCTTCTGTCTTCCTCGTGAACACGAGCCCGCCAGTCATACTGGGGATAGGACCCTTGAACGAACCGCCTCGGACTGTGATTGTCAAGATGTCGTGGCTGACTTTGTCCGAGAGACACAATGTTGAGTCTGTCTGCACGATAGTCACTTCCTTGGTAAGTCGAGGTCACTTTAGCCGGGATTTTACGCTTTAGTCTTGTGTCAACTTTTGCTTTTAACGAGGTTTTCAGTGCCTGTCGTCCATTTCGAAGCGTGTCCGGAGTTGCACTAATCGACGACCCTACACTTGGTCTATCAAGCCTACGTGTTGGCGAGGGGCCGTAACTTGACCTACCAGACATATCAACCTGTTGGCCCTCACCTTTCCCGCCACTTTTTTTCTGAAGTAGTTGTTTCCTCATGTACGCTCCAAGGTCAACAAGAGGAAGACTGTCCATTCCAAGCATCTTTAACTGTTTGTATTGGGTAGAAACCCCTCCATCCTTAACTACGGGCTTCCGTCGCTTCTGTTTGATGTTAAATGCAAATTGATTATTATGCTGAGCTAGTGAAACGGCATCTGGAAGATTTGCATGTAAAACACTTTCTTTTGAAACAAGGAAGGAGGGTCCCTGCCGGGTACTTATTGAGCTGATACCCTCCGTGAACACAGGAGCTGCAGGCTTATTGGCGGCGGCCTTATCCGATGGACGTCTGTCCGCCTTGGAACCTTTGGCGCGAATGGAAACTTTAACAGGTGGAAGATTCCTTACTGCGAGCGACGTGTCATCTGCCACAATAGAATTGTATTGCTGTAAAATTGATAGGGCCTTGTCGCGCGCAAGGTAGTTAATTTTTACGCGTGTTGCCGTGTCTTGGATTGTAGACTTGGCGATGCTTTGTCCTGGTCCTCTTGGCGTCTGCAGCGTATTGTTTCCAGCGGAGACTTTCTGAGACACGTTCGCTGCCGGAAGATTGATGGCCACGGAATCATGACTTGCTCTAGCATGGTCCTTAGGTACAGATATAATATTGCCAAGCGGGGGCAATGACCCGTCCATGCCGACAGTTTGTTCCCCGTTTCCACCACGCCAGTCTGAAAGAATAACCAAAGTCAGCCATATTGAATAATTGGCAAAGTGTTAATTGTACATAATGAGTAAGTATAGTCAAACTTTAAATCCACTAACGTATGTAGACTCCTCCTGTATATCAACTAGTCTACACTTGGCATTGTACGCGAGCGCTGATCCTGCTAGGCACACTAAACGTATTGATGGAGCAATGCCCATCTCTGATCAGACTCAAAGACAATGGGAACGCTCGTACACATCGTTATTATCAGTGACGTCTCGTAATCAGCCAGTGTACATCGGCCGAGCGTTCGTATCAATAATAGAAATCCAATGTACCCTGTAATCGACGGCGTTACTGCGTTTGATATCAATCAAAAATAACATGTTATCGGCAAAGCTTTAGATAGATATTGATCTCGATTCCCTTTCAAAGAATCAGGAAACCCGAGGTAAATATAGTTTGGGGAATAAACGTGTGAAACAGGAAAAATTGTATATGTATATATTATAAACTACAATCCTTTACTAAGAACAAAAGTTTTTTGATCATCATCCCCACAGAATAAAGCCATCCTATGAAGGACAAAATCAGAGACAATCCGCGCTTAGTACGGCCAGTGACAGGACGCTGCATTAGAGATGACTAAGTAGGCACACATATCAAGGTCTGATTAACAACTCATTTAACGTAGAGAGACTTTTGACCGATAAACAATGCCGGCATCGGATGTACACCTTCATCTACGTAGGTAGCCAACCTCGCATTGTGTTACGTCGTGTTATGTGTAGGGATATGACGTCACAGTATGGTTTGAAGAAGATGTTAGTGAGTGAAAATAGAAAACTTAAATCTTTCGTTTCTAGAATGAGAATCCCTTAAGAAATAACTTCCGGTTTTTACTTACTCGATTTTGCAATTAGTAATTAGTGTTATATTAAGTAGCAGTTATTGACATTAAGATTGTTATGAGTCTTAGAGTATTTAAAAGGTTTCTATCGGAACTGGTTCTACTGAACAAAGTTGAAGTACTTGTCTAAATTACATCTTCAGATTCTATCTATAATGGCATGTGTTAAATATGTCAAGACGCTAAGCAATGATTTATCCAATGACATCGCTTACTTGTTACAGTTGTATGACAGTCTTATGCTATTATGTATATTGGAATTGACGTCATATATCGTTGTGCAATTTACATAACGACTTGTTTTTTTGTTCATTCTCATACAAAATTACATGCGCAGAATTTAATGAGGAGACGAACTGAAGTCTGGTTCTTGATTTATAAAACTCCAGAGTGCCACTAAATTTCTTTTCTGTCAAACACCGACCATAATTGTTCAGATGATTACGAAAAGGTTTATAACCAAAGCATAATCAATTACAAGGGAAAGTTAATAGCCGACAGAAGGAAGAATCTATTGCTCAACTTCCATGCCCGACTTTGAATGATCTTTGTGACCAATACGTCTACTGTCTGTGGCATAACAATGGACAGCTGTCTCACATTATATCTAGGCTGTACCCACTTATTTGTTTAGAGCATTCACCGACAAAAAACATCAATGAATGACGATAGTTCTAGTTAACCTGATATACATGTTCACTGCTATTTGTTTGTAGTCAACATATATAGGCCCTTCAAAATTTCAAATGTGTATTGTAACAAAATATTTTCATTGATAAATAATGTTACTTCTTATCAAATTGTTTACGAAAAGCAAAAGACAACGCATGCCCGAATTTTAATAGGTGCAAGTCACTTATTAAATCTTATTCAATCTAAGAAAATACCTGTTAGCTTGCAAAGTTGATTTAAAACAAAAATACATGTTAAAAATCCTTTTAATTACTGTCATTTATATACTAATATTGAATATATTTACATAACGATTAAGATATGAAGTTCAATCATTTCGAAAAATTGATAAATACAAAACTTATATTGACGTATAAGTTTTCAAGACTTCTGCAGTTTTAAGAGCAGAATGAATTAGATGAAAGAGTTATGTGAGGCATGACTGTGTCAGAAGGTCGTTTTTGTTGCGTTTCAGAAATTTTCTTTATCAATCACTGAATACATCGTTAAGGACCACGTGACCTGTATAGTAGCATGTTTTAACTGTATACTCATGCATACAACAACAGTCATCGACCCCTAGCATATATTTTGAGAACCAAATTGTTCGAAAAAAGTTATCAACACAGAATTAAGCAGCAAGATACACTTTTAACACCGTAAACGTATTTCAAAATTGCAAACCATAAACTCAACTCCGTGTGAAAGAAATATTTACATGTCACAGTCAAGTGACACACGTACTATTATAGACGTAAGATTGTTTCTTTATATGATATATTGGTAACCAATATCTTAATGATGTGTTTAAGGTCAGATTTAATACCAACCCATGGAAATTATGTTGGGTTATTCATTTTAATATCCATCAAAATTGTATTTCATGTCGTGCGTGGGAATGTTCCAATGTATCCGTCAGTACCTGGTGGCGCAATATATAACGGTCTGTATACGTTTTGTCGTCCTGGTTACCTCGACAGACTGACGAACAAGTTCCACACATGCCAGGTACTTCAAACTTCTATAGCGTCTTTCATATCAAGTAGCATGCACTTATTGTCAATTTTAATGACAGATTCTGTGGAAACAGCGTGGCCTTTTTACATAACATTCTAACGCTCTAATTGAGTATTTTTGATAATTCTGAGTTAGTTAAACTAAAACAGTAATGTTCTAGTGTTTAAAATCATCCTTACATAAAATCGCAAAGGAATACATATAGTTTTAAATAGGATATAGAAATAATATAATTTGAACTTTAGAGAAAAGCATTAATCAGCTGATCGTTAGTTTAAACAGTTTTTAAATGCCCGATCTCATGTAAGATGACATTTAAATTGTTTTAATCACTAGTCCCTTAGACATATTGCTTCGTATTTTAAATGCATTTCAACACTAAAAAGAAAAGATATTAAAACATACTTTTTTGCTGTTTTGTATTTAAGCTTATTTATTTCAATGTCTTATTTACTAACGACTTTTCTCAGTGACTTTGTTAAGAAATTATTGAGTGTATTTATTTGTTATGTTATTAATTAAACACCAGATTGATAAATCCTTTGAAATCAAAACGTGACTGGTGTAACCGATAAAAAATATTAAACCACATATATACAACTACGAGTGTACCTACTTCAATTACCATTAACAAATTGCATCTAGTAGTACTTGTATTTGAAATCCTTTACAACTGTCACGCACTCATACTTGTCAAATCAATTTATATCGAATAAGTAATATATATAAATGTCCAAATAATGTTAAAAAGTGGTCTAAAATCCTTTACAACTGTCACGCACTCATACTTGTCAAATCAATTTATATGGAATAAGTAATATATATAAATGTCCAAATAATGTTAAAAAAAAAGTGGTCTAAAATCCTTTACCTCTGTCACGCACTCATACTTGTCAAATCAATGTATAAGGAATAAGTAATATATATAAATGTCCAAATAATGTTAACAAAAGTGGTCTAATGATGACATTACTTAATAGTGAACCATAGTTTATACAACCAGTCCTTATCCAGTTGTACCAACATCTGGCAATGATTATCCATCCACCATTAACGCGTTAGAGGAGATAATGGTACCTCTGTATTGCAATTAGGTCAATCGTGCACAGTATGAAGTCGTCCAAAATCCGTCCTATTTATTGGTAACGAAGGGGGCTGGGATATTAACTGTCAACAAAGGTGACTGGGGTATGTGAAGGAAACAAAGATGACTTGATTATCTACTGGACACAAAGGTGACTAAATTATTGTCTAAAAACACTGGTGGGTGGATTTACATGTACTAGTATATATTGGAAACGTAAAGCAATGATGGTTGGAAACTAATGATATAATGTTAAAGATTCCTGGATTTACTAAGGAAGCTTGGTTTTCTCTCGGGCACAAAACTGTTGGTTTATCTCTTGGAAACATTTTAGAAAATTTATATACTGAAAACTGAGGTTGCTTGATTACATGCTGAAGATGAAAGTGGCTGTAATATGTTCTAAAGTGAAGTAGCTGGCTTATCTATTGAAAACGTAGGTGGCTTGATTATCTACTGGAAACAATGACAGCGGACGGATTATAAACCATATAATAAAAGAACTGAATGGTATTCTACTGAAAAAGAAGATAGCTTTGTTAATGTTGGTGAATGAATAAGACTCCGCGGTATACGACAGGCGCACATTACTCTGTGCGACGCTACAAATTAACCCGTAAATATCGGTGGGGTTTTATGTGTATTTACTGTTTTGGTCAGTTTGCATAAATAACATTAACTATTGCTTTAGACCTGTATTCTACACATAAAGCATAGCTTTAATATTGAACTAAACATTTTGTTTCAAACAGACTATGAATAGTCAGAAGGTTATAGAGTTAAAATGTGTCCTTTATTCGGCACGTTGTTCGAAAAATAAACAATATGTTAGTTCCCTCTGCAATATTATTGTTTACCATACCTGTATTTAAAGATATCACTTCCATAACTGTGTCGTAAGTGAGGTTTACACTTTTCTGATGTTCATGTGCTGGAATTATTTTCAATGAATCGTCTCATGTCAACAAAAGTCTAACCATGTCACTGAATAATGTGCAACGTCCAGCAAATCTCGAAAATCAATCCCACAACAGCCTCCTCAGAAAAGGAATCTGCTATTCTTCAAAAAGAACTTTTGCAATGATCAAAGAAGCATCTTATCGGGGATATAGAAAATGCATTTCTGTATTTTTCTATGCTAATTCCGTTTAATCGTTTGCACAACGACAGGTCTGGTAGCATATAATCTCATACTGGGCAAAACCACCTCGGAATTAAAACGTTAGAAAAGTCACTATTGTCAATGTTGGAAATCTGCCATGAAATGAATATAGGTGTTCATAAGTGCTGCCTTGTGATTTGATCTGGATTAGTAAGGTTATTATTACCGTATCAGTACGAGAAAGCTTTTACAGAAATACCATTATCTTACTGGCATGCCTGGTTAAGTACAGCTTGCTTTAAGATTTACGGAGATTTAGATAAAGCATTAATAGGACCCCCTCGGTTAAAGGTCTATTAACAGGTATGAAATATCACAGGTAAACTCGCAATGACCTCAGTCGATAATGTTAATTACGTACACCGAAAAGGATAATTGAGCTAAATTGGTGTGTCCCAGTAAAGGGATATACTAATATAGATTTGATATACACATGCCCTTGCAATTGTATGGTATACATATATTATTATCAGGGTAGTTCACCTCATTATCATCAGTACATGTTGTAGCGTATTCAGTGAAGCCTGTAGAAAATATCTGTTTTCGTAAGTAAGAAGACCACGGATTTTAAATATAGACGTCATAATGATGTCATTATTGCTCAAACGGCAAGACTTAAATGTTTAACTTGTTTGTCATTTGATAGTCTAGTGTTTTATTACCTCAAAATGCTAATTCACGGAATGAATATTAAATACAATGTCAAAAAAAAGCGTTTTTCCCTTTTCATCTCAAATTATGAACTTTATCTTACTCTTGCTTTTGACTTTATCACAGTGTCATTGCACATTTTTACAAAACCATAACTTTTATAGGCAGTATGATAACCAGATCATTATAAACAATGCTGTGAATACACTCTATAATATACGGGTCAATATACGTTTATACTGTATATAGGCAACACTAGTATAAATATCGGTTGATTTTATATTGTATAATACCAGACTTTTACATTTTATATAATGATAACATACTGTTTAATAACTAGATAATTATATGTAGACTTTGTAATTACTAGATTATTACAGATAATCATGAGTATTTACTTTGTAAATTCTACACTATTATATTCACATATTATATGTATAATGATAATTTACTGTTTAATAACGAGATTATTATATGTAATCATAATTATAGACTTTGTAATTACTAGATTATTACATATATGGAACTCTTTCATAAATGACACTATGGACACGACGAAATACAAAGTACACTGTAGGGTATATGGACATAAATGTTTTCAGTCAAACAATACCTGTAATATTTGGCTAACCTCTGTAACTTTACACCGCGATATACCTGGTAGGTATTTAACAATATGGAGACTATATCATTTTGTCTACAACCATACCCTTGATATCTTAGGTTCAACATTCGCTAACTATTGTACTATATTTCCATATGCACGAGATAGTATTATATAAAAATTCAATAGGAGAGGAACTTGTCTCCAGTTGTTATCTCAATAACTTATTTACAGAACGTATGGAAACCATTGCTTTTCCCACAATGCCAGACGAATGAACAGCATTCATAGTTGTCTGCAATAATCGTTGTTTTCTTTTGATCGATTCATAATTTCAATAGATATTCATAAATATATTACCATAAGTACTGTGTGTTTACCCAACACATATAATTATGATTACATACTATTGTGAGAGAAAATAAAGCTTGTTGATGAAGCAAACACTTCAAGCTTAATATATCTATTAATTCTAATTTGCTACATTTGAGTAACTATTACGTTCAGATTATTTTTCAATATATTATATACGTTAAACAAATAAACCCTCTTTATGTGATAACCAGCACATGTTTTACAAAGGGAACTCTTTTTTTGATATTGTGTAATAATGTAATAATTCCAAATAAGGAAATCATTATCAGATCGTTGACAACAACATTTTACATCAAAATGATGGATCACATCATCTTGATAAGCATAAAGTTTATGACTGTATATATCTTAGATAACATTAGGGATATCCGTTTATAACACAACCATTTAAATCAATTACCCTTGTGAATACGCTCCGTACAAAGCATTTAAATGATGTTATCAATGTCACGCTTGTAACACATTAACGACACTTACTGACACCAAGGCTTGATATTTAAATGTTTTAACACTATTAAAACGTTACGATAAATAAGGAAGTAGAAAAAAACTTACGGTTTCAGTATAAAACCATCTTGATATCGGTCCCACGGTTTAGATGGAATTGTTTTGCTTCCCACATATACACTACATAGTATGATCATCGAAATATGGGAAATCGCTAACAAAGGACTTCGGTAACGAATGTGTTCCTTGCCAAACGGCCAATTATATATTGTTAATGTTATAAGCTTAATAACAAAATGGCAACAAAAAGAATTTAATAGTTCTTTTAATGGAAACTGATATGGAACGGCAATGAAGCAAACTGTTAAGACACTGATCAATATAACAGAATTTATTTCGTGGAATACTTTTTAATTATAAGTTAAATGTAAGGTTTGAGTAAATGTAGACTAACCAGGATTCGAACCACTATTCCATGACACTATGTCCCTGTCTTATCTAGATGACCCTAAACAATGCGCGCTGTTCCAACCCGATCGTTCCTTATACAAAGATATGTGTATTATCTGGTTGACTATCTAACCCGTACATAACGGTACTATCTGAAATCCACGGGGTGGTCTCCGGCAACTTATAATTATGTATTAAATGTACTGATCACGAGCGAGAAGTTTCACGATATAGTGTACAACATTGATATAAATTACTTGATAAGTGTCTGATCTCTTCAAGGATCATTTTTGAGTAAGTCATTATAACAAGATGACTTTATGAGAAAAATATCTAAATATAACCTATTCTTTGAAGGTGTTCTTGTAAACGGACGAACGAGAATTACATTTTTCTAATAAATAAAAATGCATATAAAAACCGTTTAATTTCGAACTATACCTGAAATTCTATGTCATATAAAAAGAGGTCAGATTTGTAAAACTAAGATTCATTAAACAAACATATGAAACCAACAGGTACAATGTTCTTATCTGCTAAAATGATTAAACTTCTAATCAAGATCAAAATCCAACACAGAACTATGCTAGGCTTTACATATTTATCATCATTATAAATTGATAACAAGAGTGGGATTTGGCTCTTCACTGTAAACTCTTATCTTAAACCCTGGTTTTGTTACATAAAATATCAAACGTAGATAAGCTTTTGTAAAATGTCTGTCTTGCATCTTATCTTGTCTGTTGGAGTTTTAATATCTACAGAGAAAATGATATAATACAGAAAGAAAGGTCGCCATTTGATTCAATAAAGGAAAATTGTCTGGATAAAACACCAAATCTTAAGGTCACGCACGTGTTGTTAACATGTTGTCACAATTATTTTTAAATAAATGTAGAATAATAATTCTAATTATTTCAATTAGTCGTTTCAATGTTTTCCCTTTTTTGAGTTGATTTTCAAATCTTTTTTTAATTTTATAGCAAAACAAGCGTGTTATGACCATGTAACACTTTCGATTTTGATTTCGATTTTTAATGTATTTCCGTGAGTCCATTTTGATTGGTTCAAGAGTACAAAACAAGCAACTGACACAGTTGAAGTAATTTCGGTCGCCATTAACGCGTTTTTTTTGTTTTTTTTTGGTGCATTAGAATTATCTTTCAACACATTTAAAACCTACAATTAACCTACAAGATGGACAGTGATAAAAGTGTTTACAATGAAATCAAAACCTCGACATCAAAAAGTCACAAAATGTGCAACAACCGTTTGTTGTATTTGGGCAAAAATATGTATGGCCATGAAGACAAATAGTTATATGCTCCTATGGGTTGCTTGATTGGTATAGAGTATGTCTTTGTCATTATGTTTCATAACGTAAGTCATATGTACTTATGCATTGGAAAGAAATATGGTATTTCCAAAGAACAAATGTTAATTGATTAATCCGACCCTATAATAACAGCCAGGATTACTACACCACATAAGGTAAGCATGTACATCTACGTTCACGTGTCACATTGCTGTTGACCCCATATTTTAACCAAAGGTGAGTCCCTCCCCTCGAGTATATCGGTCTACGCCTCTTGATGAAAATGTGTCACTATCCTCTGTTTAATTTCAAGCTGTTGTTCTCAAGAAAATACGTATTATATCTACAGACATTTTCAGGCATTGAATGAAGAATGCCAAAATGCTAAGAATTAATGACCACGATATGTGAGACGAGGTCAGTCTGCGGTTCCTAATCATTTTTGAGGATATGAGTGAAACTTTGTTTTGTATGGTTTGGGTTTAATGTCCATGCAACAGCCAGGCTAATTGGGGATTGAGAAGAGTGCAATAGTCGAGACTAATAGACGAGGAAAAGCACTACGGATATAAAAAAGCAAAAATGGAAGAATGAAAAGAAAGGAATCTTTTGGAGATGTTCTTATATTATGTGAACTCGAATTATGGACTTAAATTGAGGTGAACATTTGGGTATATTAACTGAGGCAAAGTCGAGGTTAACATAGGTTGTCAGGTCCATATATCGATACATTCAACGAAAACAAGTCCCTTACTATTATGTTAAATACGAAATTATGCTGTTTTCATCATAAAGTATACAAAAAGATAAAACGTTATGAAATCGTGAAGTGGAAAATGATTGCATTTGGCAGAAGGCAATGGTAAGTTATATTTAAAATGAAGTCATATAGGGACTATAAATCTGCTGTTTCCAAAACTAGTTACTGTTAGTCAATATCACAAATTACCGACCTCCATGTGATAATGATC